AGATGGGCTTCAGATTGGTTTCACAGGTCGGCGCAACATCGAGGGCCGAAGGGCCTGTACTGCGCTGTTATGTTCTATGTCCTCTCTGGAGGAGGTGGGAAGGAGTTGATTAGAATAGCCGCACTGGCTTTTTCGGAAGTCCCAATGTGTTTCCAGCAACAAATTCAAGGTGTTTTATGTCAGAGCAGTCCTGAAGATCTGAATGATTGAAGTTCTGCTCGTGTCCTGGAATTTTAAGACTCTCCCTTTCCACCAAGCAGGCAGCACTCTGAAAACACCAGAAGTCTACAGCTCCTGAGGTTTTACATACATTTAGTAATTACCAAACAGAAATTAGGCTACAATATCGCAATCTCATTACCTGTGAATATAAGTCCTGTCGGACAATATAGAATGACTCCTACTAGACGTAGCTGCAGCTTATATCCAATAAACTCCTGTCCCATTGCACTGCCAGCATAAGTATTCATTTTCACAAATAATTGACAATCTATTTGTCTTTCAGTTTTCAGCAGGTCACCTTGCAGAATGTGATTCCATAAACAGTGGTAAAAATCCTGGAATCCTTTTTTAATACAATTAAGTAATAGCAATTTTATTTGGCTAGTGATTATAGCTATAAGCCTTCTATTTAGGATTGATTGTTTTGAACTGTAGGATTTTTGGAGTAATGTGAACTCTGCACAAATGGGAATGTGCTGAGACTGAATGAGAAAGGGATGATACTGGCTCCGTTACAGAAACGTTATAGCCCAGTCAATGTGTCTTCAGTCTTTGACATGAAGTGTCCGTGTAACTTCTTTGCTCAAACACTTGCGTCCTGACAATGGACTGTTGGCTTCTCTCCTTACTGTGTCATTTTATATCTCAATATTGGGTCAAAAGAGAAATTTATTTAATTTAGAAACAATCGCTTCTGCCCCTTTTTTCTTCCACACATCTGGCTTGGTTTGTAGGAACATATAACTGGTAAACCTTACATTTGGGTTGTTTGTGCTTCATTGTGGAGTGATGGATTTGTCACTTGAGTATGGGAACACTGACCTGACTCTCATTTTGCAATTTGCACTTGGGATCCTCTGCTCCATCCTGACGTGAGTCAACTTTGACCCATGCTCTCTCCTAGGCTGTGGAGTGCTTTCCCTTATCTATCACTCCGTCCAGGCTCTACTCTCCCCTGCCCTCTGCTACGTTATGGTCTCTTGGCTTAACTTTGTGAGTTAGTTGCTAGCTTTATAAATTCTAGATCCATTTTAATTTAGTTTAAATCCCACTAATTGCCATGATGGGATTCAAGCCCATGTTCCCACAGACCTGGCCCTTAAGATTACTAGTCCAATGATAGTACCACTGTATCTCCTAAATGTTCCAAGTGGGAATTGAACCTGAGCTGTGTTGGGGAGAACATGGAATCCCAATCGAGTGGTACTTGCAAGGCTGAGGAGGAGCATGGGTTCAGTTGGATGGATGAAATGCCCTGGCCTGCATTCACTGGGATACAGATTATTTCTCCTATTCCCATACATTAAGGAGAGAGTCCTCCACTCCTAGTGTTGAGGTCCAGGGTAGATCAGCCATGATTCTGTGGAATAATGAAGCAGGCCTGAGGGGCTGAATGGCCTACTCCTGCTCCTGTTTCTTGTGTCCTTGCAAGAGAAAGAAGGGAGACCCTTTTGTAGAAACGGGAGTAAGTAAAAGACAGACAGATGTTGGTTTTTTTTTTTTGAAAAAAGGTGTGAAAAGTATAGATACAGAGCGCATTTTTAAAAAAAAAACCAAAGAACTGTAGATGCTGGACATTTGAAACAAACACAGATTGCTGGAGAAATTCAGTAGGTCTGGCGTCTGTGGGGAGAGAAGCAGTTAGCATAGATACAGAGAAAGACAGGCAGCAGTAAAGAAACACTTCTGAAGGAGAGTCATATTGGACTCAATGTTAACTCTGCTTCTGTCTCTCGACAGATGCCACCAGACCTTCTGAGTTTCTCCAGCACTTTGTTTTGATACAGGCAAAGAGATGTTTAAGTGCAACAGGAATACAGTGGCAGGGACACAAGTCAATTTTAGATATTTCCCACAACTTGTGACACAGGAAGCCAACATAATGGCAGAAAGAAATCCTCCGTTTTGAGAATTTGTCTGAAATGACATTGGTTGCTGTTTTGTCAAATGTTGTGTGGTTTTGCCCATTAAAGTGAGCCAGTAATTGCTCATCATGTCAACTTGAGCAGTCAATGACTTTTTCTCCCCGAAATTTAAATGTTGCAAATCAAAATTAGCCTATTCCCAAGAGTTATGCAAATTGCTAAAGATGTGAGGACCTGTCAATACTGAGTTCGGCTCCTGGAGTTGGAATTTAAGTCAGAATTCTCTTTCTGGTATAAACATTTCAACTGGCATTGTGTTTTAACAGATTGATCAGATGACATTGGCATCCTTGTTTCATCTGTGTCATTGATATTGCTTCAATATCTACAGACATTAGCAGGAGGAGAAGAGAAGCTGGAAAGACAGGAAATAAAGCTAATATATCTTATTTTCAGAAGTCACACGGCACCAGGTTATAGCCCAACAGCCTTATTTGAAATCGCAAGCTTTCGGAGCACTACCGTTCGTCACCTAACACAGGAGTGAGGCTTTGAAAGCTTGTGATTTCAAATAAACCTGTTGGATTATAACCTGGTGCCGTGTGACTTCTGCTTTTTGTCCAGCCCTGTTCAACACCAGTGCCTCCACATCATGTCTTAGTTTAAACATAAGGTGCTTATATTTGGTAACAGTGACTGCCCAAATCTGCTTAGCTACGTAAACTACAGAAAAGTGTCTTGACCCCATCATGGTGATGGAAGTGTAGGGGAAGCATTGACCAGAGAATGAAATACTTTTCCACCATGTGTGGGTAGAATTTTGTCACCAGGAACTTCATTTTTGTTTTGGGTGGAGTAACTTAACACTTTTTACGGAATTAATTCGACAGAAATTGCTCAGTATTCATTTTGGGTTTTCTCCTTTTTGTCTTTGCAGCTATAACACAAATCTCTTATGTCCCTGAAATTGTGTCAGATACTGTACTAGGGCGAATCTCACAAACAACAGTTGCACTTGAACAGCCGCTCTGTGTGTTTAACAGTTCAGGAACAGGCTGTGTGAACTGTGATGTTTGGCTGCTCGTGGCTAACTTGGCGGGTGAGTATCTTTTGTTATGTCTGACGTGCTGTTTTGTCTATAGTGACCATTCAGACCTTTTTCCATTTCCAGTCAGGTTAAGGTGGCTAGTGAGACCGTTGTGTTGGTTCTGGAATTTGCATAGTTTATGGCTATGAAAATCAAATCATGGGTGATATGATGGCTCAGCGGTTAGCACTGCTGCCTTACAGCACCAGGAACCCAGGTTCGATTCCATCCTCGGGCAACTGTGTACACTTCACACCAACATGCTTGTGGGTTTCGTCCAGGTGCTCGGGTTTCCTCCCTCAGTGCAAACATGTGCATGTTAGGTGGATTTGCCATTCTAAATTACCCTGTAGTGTTAGGGCACGTACAGGTTAGCTGGTTTAACCACAGGAATTGGGGTTATGGGGATAGAGTGTGGCCCTAGGTCTGGATGGGATGTTGTTTTAGAGGGTTAATGTGGACTCAATGGGCTGAATGACCTGTTTTCACACTGTAGGGATTCTATGATTTGAAATATAAACTTGAATAAATAATGACTGTGTCGATGTCATAAGATGGTTGGACAAGGTTTACTTGAGTGATTGGTTGAAACTCTTTTTTTGTCAGGCTTTGTGCATTGCGTGGCCAACTGTTGGAAGGAGGGAAGAAGGACGTTTTGTGTTCTAGGTGGAGTAGGGACTAGCAATATCAGGGATGCCAATGTTTTTGGAAAATCAGACTTGAATCAATACGTGGACCTACTGATAACACTGCACTGTTTTAAACAGCCGGATCTATCTTTTTATTTCTTCTTTTCTCTTCATAGACTTAAGTGACTACCTCTAAATATTGTTCACCTCAGCTGTTTCATGTTGTAAGCACGCCTTGGGAAAGAGGTTTCTCCTGAATGTTTCTGTCAGAACATGAGGAAGGGTCACTGGACCCAAAATGTTAACTTTTTTTTTGAAAGAAAGAGATGCTGCCAGACCTGCTGAGCTTTTCCAGCAACTTCCATTTTTGTTTCTGATTTTACAGCATCCACAGTTCTTTTGGTTTTTTTTAATAAAATTGCATATCTGTTCAAAATTGACATTGCACAAAATCAGTTTCTTCTGATATTGTCTGTCATTCATCATACTTACAATTACAGTCAATGTTTACATGTCTACAGTGCAAACCAGGGGATTAGATCCAGTTCCCAGTCTCACTATTATTGGCTGAAAGGCCTTCGACAGTGACCTTGCCTCGCTGCTCCTTATGGTTGTGGTTGCCACAAGCTCTAGAATATCTACCAGGGCTGAAGAATAGAGAACAAATATTGGCCCTGTCAACAACGACCAAATCTTCAGAGAATTGGGGGGAAAAAATGGAAAGGCATCTTGTCTAACCGATCAAGCCTCTTTCAGGACACCCCTCAACCTTCTCTCTTTCTTTTTCCTTTTGAAAGACAAGAACATGAGCTTGTTCAGCCATTACTGAGAGTAGCACGGTGGCTCAGTGGTGAGCACTACTGCCTCACAGCGCCAGGGACCCAGGTTCGATTCGACCCTCGGGTGACTGTCTGTGTGGAGTTTGCACATTCTCCCCGTGTCTGTGTGGGTTTCCTCCCACGGTCCAAAGATGTGCAGGTTAGGTGGATTGGCCATACTAAATTGCAAATAGTGTCCAGGGATGCACAGGCTAGGTGGAACAGCGATAGGGTAGAGGGGTGGGTCTGAGTGGGATGCTCTTTGGAGGGTTGATGTGGACTCAATGGGCCAAAGGGCCTGATTCCTCACTGCAGGGGTTCTATGATTCTATTCTATGATAGTCTGATCTCTCAGTTCTGGTATCAACATTGTAGATGTTTTAAACACCTCTGCTGGAATTGATGGTTTTTACTTGATTTTTCTGGGATTATCCTTTTAAATCTCTCCAGCATTTTCTCCAGTGTCATAACATCTGTTTTGTGATTTTATGTGGATCGGAGCTTTCAAATGTGTTATAATTAGGTATAACTTAGCGGCCTGCTTTTTAATTCTGCTACTCTAGATATTTTGGCCTTGGCCTGCATCACAGACTGATTTACAACTTTATTCTTTTCAAATTCAGGAGTTGCAGCATTTAATAATATCAAAAATGAATTTGTGGATCCTTCACTTTTTACGTACCAAGGTGCTTTCACTGGATCAAATGGTTTTTACTTCACTGTTAAAACAAAAAGGAATGTTTACTCTTGTCCACCAACTGCTATTCCTGGCCAGATCTTAACTTTGCGAGTTGGGTCAGAAGTGCCCTGTACAACTCCAAATTGCAATGCACCATTACCTACTGGTGGGAAATTCCGGTAAGTCAAGTCAGGAATCACTTTTTTTTTTTTAATGGGCAGGTAGTGAATGCCAAGCTGTATGTTAATGAAGTTGCCACAGAAACACACGTAGGCAGTATTTTGTTTGTTCTTTCATAGGATGTGGTGTAAACATGAATCAGAATTTTCCAATCTGTTGGCAATGGGCTATGAGGTGGGAAAGCTGGTAAAATGGCATGGGAAGACGGTGGGAGGATTCTGGTGTACTCCTGCCATGCTATCTTGTGCTATATGTTTGACATGTAATGAATCTTCTAAATATTAACTGATTAAAACTGTGTAATGAATAGCATTCGGTATTAGCAGAGACTGATTTTTGTGCAATACCAACTTTGAACAGTCATGTAATGCAGTTTGGTAAATTCTGTGAATGAAGTCCATTTGGAAAGAGAAATGTGAGCCTTCTTACTGCAGTGAAATTTGATTCCATGCATCAAAACATGATGAGCCTCTGGACAACTAGTTTAGTAACATTTATCATGATGGTACTGCCTGCCCCAGATAGTAGACTATTTTTAAATATTCTGAGATATTGTGCAAGGAGATGGATACGGGTTAAGTTTTTCTAATGAAGAGAAAGAAAGTTGTTACCTTTCAAGGTTAATCTTATTTTATTTATTTTTTGGTTTTAGAATGAAGTATGTTTTGATTGATCCTGATAGAAGTCCAAGCAATATTGTTGCAGAAACGCAATTTACAGATGAGATCATGCTGCTAAATGGTAAGTATTGCTGTTGTTGTAAAAAGCCAAGAACCATTGTCTCTTGTTAACTAGAATGTGTGTACTTGTGGGGTGGTGGGGAGGGTAAAGTCAGTGGAATTGTGCATCTACAGATACCAAAGTTGTCTCCTCTGGTTAGACCATTCCAGAGCTTGCACCACATGAAGTCTGACTCTGTATGTGCATCTCCTTTTTTTTTTGAGAAAATTGGATTTCCTGTGATGTTGCAGGATGTCAAGTGAGAATTAGAGGGTGGGATGGTTATTCATAGGTGAGTGAGCAGGATTGAAAAGGTGGGATGAAATTTGATTCCACCAGTAACTAATAATGACCGAACAATATTGAATTGGTAACTATATGTAACATTGCTAACACTCTGATCTTCCCTCTTAATCAACAGTAATACAATAGCTCTATAGGCAATTGATAGGAATAGTGTAACTCCCCAAAATAATGCAATCAATTTGTACTTGCTTTGCAATGCCAAGCAGAATTCCTTTCTAGCACAGCGAGGTCTTGCTCCCTATCTCTGAACCAGGGATCTCAGTCAAAGCCGGTTCTGACTCCACACAGCAAGAGTGACTAACAGAACTGGTGCCCCATAGTGAGCATTGCAGTGAAGCAGTCTGAGAAGAACATCAAAAATAGGCCCTAGAAATCCTGGATGCATTGGTGGTCATCTTTCAAGATTCTGAAATAGTTCCTATGGATTGGAGGTTTGCTAATACACCCCAGCCTTTAAAAATGGAAATGGACAGGAGGCAGGGAATTATAGACCAGTGAATCTGACATCAGTAGTAGGGAATTTGCTATGGTCCATTGTAAAGGATTTTATAATGGAGCATCTGCAAAACAGTGACTAGGTTCAACAGAGTCAGCATGGATTTGCGAAAAGGAGATCATGCTTGACAAATCTGCTAGAATTTTTGAGGATGTAACATCTAGTACCAACACTCAGTACGCACTGCTGCTTCTATCTACGAGATGTACTGCAGAAATTCACCAAAGCTCTTTAGACAGCACCTTTCACAACTACCCCTAATTGAAGGACTGGAGCAGTTGGTACATGAGAATGCCACCAACTTCAAGTCTCCCTCCAAGCCACTCATCATCCTGCCTTGGAAATATTTCCTTTCACTGTCACTGGGTCAAAATCTTGGAAATCCCCTGCTAAGTGAATTTAAAAAAAAAAAAAAAAATACTAGTCGAGTTGGCAAGGCGGGGGGCAAGTGGATGTGGTTTATTTGGAACTTCAGAAGGCTTTTGATAAGATCCCACAAGAGATTAGCATGAAAAATAAAGCACATGGTATTGAGGGATGGTGTACTGAAATTGATAGAGAACTGGTTGGCAGGCAGAAAACAAAGTAGGAATAAATGCCTTTCCTCAGTGGCAGGCTACTGCATGGATTGGTACTAGTACCCCAGGTAATCACAATATAAATGATTTTAGCTGAGGGGATTAAATATAATATCTCCACATTTACAGATGACCCAAATTTGGGTGGGAGGGTGAGCTGGGAGGAGAATGCAGTGTGATTTAGATAAAGTGAGTGGGCAGATACATAGCAGATGCAGTATAATGTGGGTAAATGGAAGGTAATAAAAAAAATTGGATTATTATCTGAATGGTGATAGATTGCACCTTCCCCCTTTCTCAATGAGACCTGGCTGTCCTTGTATACCAATCCCTGAAAATAAACGTGTAGGTATATCGGGTAGTAAATGGTATGTTGGCCTTCATAGTGAGGATTCAAGTACAGGAGCAGGGATGTCTTGCTGCAGTTGTACAGGGCCTTGGTGAGACCACACCTGGAATACTGTGTGCAGTTTTGGTCTCCTTATCTGAGGAAGGATGTTCTGGTGCTGGAGGGGGTGCAATTGAAGGTTTACCAGAGCCTGGACTTAATGAAGAGTTTTCAAAAAATATGATTGAAACTGTAGTGTGGGAGCAGGCCATTCAATCCATTGTGCTGGTGACCTCTCCTCTAACCCCATTCTTCCTGCAGAAATATTTCTACATGTATTGCTCCTGTTTAAGAGTCATCGTGTTGTTTCCATCTTCAACTCAGTCACTTGTGTTGGCCATTTTAAAAGTGGCTAAATGATGCTTAATTTTCTGTGAAAGACACTAAAGGAACAAGTTGGGAACAATTGAAAATCTGTAATAGAGAAAGAAAAGATCCATTTCAGTCTCGATCCAGTTTTTTGCTAGGTATTTCCAGATTTTCCTGGTGTTTGTTTGAAATGTGGGGAATCCCAGTGGTGCATTTTGAACCAATTTTTATTTTTTATTTATTTATTTATTTATTTTTTTGCTCTCTTTCTCTTCAGCTACAGATCCCAATATCATTGACCCCTTTTTGAGTCGCAGTGGGGGGATGGTTGTCATAACAACAATTCTCTCCATTCTGCTCTTCCTGCTGCTGGCAATGTTTGCAGCTATGCTCGCCATGGCTTGGTAAGTGACCTGCTTCTAGAGTTTGACAATCCTGACCATTGTCAGATCAGGACCAGCTAAGAGCTGGATGATAGAAACATATGTGGAAACTTAGATTTTGTATTAGGAATAGGCCATTCGACGACTGTTCAATATGATCACGGCTGATCAAACTCAATACCCTAATCTTGCAACTAGCACTCCTCCCTCATTTCCTTTTGATTCCTTTAGTCATGAGCTATATCAACCACACCCTTGGAAACATATTTTAGCCTCAAACCACTTCCTGTGGTACTGAATTCCACAGGCTCCCCACTCTCTGTGTGAAGAAATTTCTCCTCATCTCAGTGCTAAAAAGTATACACCTTATCTTTGAACTATGACCCCTTGGTTCTGGATTCTCTACCATCATCTTTCCTGTATCTAACCTGTCTAGTCTTGCGTCTCTTGAGGTTTCACTTGAGGCATCCCATCATTCTTCTCAGTCAATCAGAAAACCTTCACACTACTAGAAGCAATAACTTCAACCATTTTTATTGTCTGGTCCCATACAAAGCCGAGCTGCTCATTGTGTAGAACCGTGGGGTCTTTTTAATATGCAGTAACAATAACAACTTGGCCTACACAGACCAGAAAATCTCAACTCCATCCCGCTGCTCTGAGTTAGTGTACCAATGGATTCTGCTGTGAAATTCTTTCTTGCTGCTACGCAAGTAGAAAAAGGAGCATCAAGTATGCTGTTCATGATTGCTATCTTGGTCAATGTATAACTGTTAAAAAGAGACCATAGGTAACTGTGGCTGTGATGACTCTGTCGAACTCGTGATTACTCTGAACCCCCATTTGGAGGTGTATGAGGGTAATAGAGATCGCCAACACAGAGTTAACAGCTTCAGCAAGTTTGTAGGGAAAAAATTAGGAAGAAGATTTAACCATAAGTGTTTTCTGAAATGTCTGACTGGTTGTATACTGCTATTTATTGATTCAGCTCCCTACAAATCTATTGCAAGCAATGTATCAATATAAACTAACACTGTTCCTTATCTTTCTGTTCCTTGCAGTTGCAAAAAATCTGTAATGTCTGACTTCCCTGAACCTATAACCACGTTTGGTTCCCTCCGAGAATATAACACTCACAGCTTGCAGAAAAGACCGGGTGTCATTACTCCAAAGGGCATGATGTAAAGCAGTGTCTGTGGTTGAACCACAGACTGTGGACAGGAATCTGGCAGCCTCATTCCTCCTTGGTCTCTCCAACTACCCAATTTCACAATTACAGTGGAATACTCATGTAACTATGGTGTTTGGAATGATGAAGTGTCTTTACGCTGATGATTCAAATGTCGAGGTGTGAACTCCTTAAGGTTAACATTTTTTCCTTTTACATAGTGCCAGTGTTCTTTCTGAATAACAGTGCAATACAAAATATTGTTGAATTCAGTTTGTTGAAGCTTTTTTTTCTTGCACTCAGCGCAACATTTGCAAGAATAACAAAGCCAAGAGGGACAACCTTTATATTGTCTGAGAAGGCTCTACTAATTAGTTGGCAAGTGCACTCTGGTAGAAACTTTGACATGGAGAATTACCAGTTAGATGATGACTGACACTTAACTGCCAAGTTTTATTTAAACTTAAATTGTGTTGATTCTGACTGCCTCGGGAAATGTACCAATGATTAATTGTTGTCTGTTTTGTCATGATTGCAAGACAAAAAGCTTCAACAAAATATCTTTTGTTAGCAGTACTCTACTGTTTTGTACAAAAACAACTATTTGCAATATAAGGTATTAAAAAAATCTTTGTCTTTACAGTGGAGGAGTAAATGTTTTAGACCTCTTTCAATCCCACTCAACCGCTAGCTGCTGTTTTGGCTTTAGAGTACCGTTTTAATTGTTACCCCAAAAGGAATACAAGGTCGTGATTACAGATTCTGGTTCTTGTCATTGTTTCAATTAGAATCTAAATCAGTCATTCACAAACCCAACATGTTAGAGTTTGACTCTTTCTCTTTATGTTCTTCTGATAGCATTTTGCACTCTTTCAACCAAGTAAGGGGGAGGGGTGGCTGTATTACTGGACGCTAAAGATACGGTCCAATCTTATCCTTTTCAGCATCTGAGATGCTGCTTTTCCCTGGGAATTATGCTGGTAACTGGGTTTATACTAATTTCTGAGAAACACCTTTTTTTTTTTTGTTTCTTTGAATGCCTGGAGCCCAGGTAAAGGCCCCTTTGTGTCTGGATCATTGTGCCAAGGTGAGAATTTGGTTCAGTTGGTTTTACCTTGATGCAATGTGGCCTAAGAACACCACCTACTCCATGGCTAAAGCATTTACTCCTCCCATTTTCTCTCGGTCAGCTTTCCTTATTTTGCGAATTATGCTTTATTTCTTCCATTTGAAATATTTCCTGTACAGCGTACAGCTAATATCTTTTAGCTGTTTGTTTTTTTTTAAAATACCATATGCTGCTCGATCAATTAAACACTCCTGATGCAGAGCTTCACAGAACAGGAGTGTGTGTAGGAGTTTGGGATGGGAAACCCAGTTGGTTATGTTTGACATCCATATCACATTCCAATCATGTGCAGCTCTGCGCTGTGGGAAACTAGTTAGTAGTATTGACCCATTGCTTTAAAGTCAGCTGGAACAGTTCCAGATGTTGGTGGCCTCTCGTTTTCCAACACTTTGAAGTCAAACTGCCAGAGGAAGTAATAGATGCAGGTACAGTTACAACATATTTAAAAGACATTTGGACAGGTACATGAATAGGAAAGATTTAAAGGGATATGGGCCAAAAGCAGGCTGGTGGGACTAGTTTAACTTGGGGAAACTTGGTCAGCACAGACTAGTTGGACCAAAGGGTCTGTTTCTGTGCTATATGATTAAATCATAACCTAAAGAACTTGGAATGTAAATGTGTTTGCATCTGAAACTAGAATCTAAGATCCAATTGGTTTTGTACAGATTTGCTTCAAGATTTAATGAGTTTGGCAATGAGACAAAATGAGTTGTGAATGTTCTGTGGAAACCAAGAATCATTTCTGACTTCATCCTTCCATTTTAAACTTGACAAGTGATCTCCGACTCTTGCTTAATGCTCTCAACTGTGAATACATTTGAATTTCATACGTTTAGGCCATTGGCACAATATTATCAGGATTGCATCTTGTATATAAAAATTTTTAGTTAGGCATTGAATGTTGATGACATCAGGAGTTTCTCATTATTGAAATTTTATGGATAAATTCCAATCGAAAAGCCAAAGAGCTATGTATATAACAACCAGCTTTATACTTGTACTGTGCTTAAGAAGTTTGCTGATACTTGACAGGGAGGGACCTTGGCGTTTTCCCCCACATTGTCCCACAAAATTCCACACCCAGACTTTCCCACTGAGTAAATTCAGTCAGTAGTGCCTCCCAAAATAGGTATTCCTGGAGGTATCAGGAGTTATTTCCAGTCTCCATCCCCATAGCAAGAGACTATGTGAAGGCTGTTGTCACTGTTGTTAATGATGTGACACTCTGAGGTCGAGGAGAAAGTAGTCCCCCTGACCTAACTCTTGTTTACAAGTCAACCCAGAATGGGACAAAATACACTAAATAAATCAAGCAAAAAAAGCCTTGTAGTGCATTAAGTTCTCATCCACATTCCTCCATGGGTTTATCCAACATTTCTTTGGAAAAAGGCTTCCTTTCAGAATTCTAATGAACAGCATTGACAAACTAACATCATCCTGTAGATAAAGAACAAATAAAACCCCACAAATGTTAGAAAACTGATCACGTTTGCCTCCTCTTCATGCTGAATTATTACAAATGAACAGCAATTAAATAGAATGAGAGATGGGGCAAGATGAATGGGATGCACAGGGGGGCTGTTTTTGGTTCTAGAAAGTCCTTTTGACTTCTCTTTACTTTGAATCTCATTGAAGGCAGAAACTGAGAAACTATTTATCGAGTGTTTGGTGTCTCCTGGATTCATTTAAAATTAAATGTGTTAAAGTGCACCTCACAATACACCACCAGCAGGATAGACTGAGCTGTTAGTAGAACCACCCTGTTTTGAAATATCTTGTGTCTATTATAATATTTTATCTATTACTTTTATATATTGTTGTATTATTGAAAATCTTTTGACCAATCTGAATTCTGTAGGGAATGTGTAAGCTTTATCTGAATAGAAAATGATTAAGCAAGAAAACAGTTCACTTCTGAATTTATCTTCTAACTATTGTTAAATAAGTGAGGGGTAAGATCTAACAGCTGTCCTTTTTGTTTAACCTACTGCTGTCTGAGGAGAGAAGTATCTTTAACTTGGACACTCCAGGCTCCAGTTCTTGTCTGGAACTGAAGGGGATGGGATATCTGGGGTGGAAAAGGTTGTCAGCTCTCCGGATGGGAAATATTCCTGGAGGTATCAGGAGTTATTTCCAGTCTCCAAACAGCCCATTCCCATACTCGCGTCATGAGTTACTTCATGTGTGTATTATTGTGGTTCAAAGTGACATGTAATCAAATTTATTATCTAACTAACCCTTGACACTTGGCAATTTTGGGGTTTGCAATAAAAGTCTTCAATTGTGTCTTTTCTTATATAGCCCCTCTGATTTCTTGCCCTGAGTGTTCACTGCGTTATACAAGATAAGTAATTAATTAATTACTTAAGACTCTTTCAGGATGACAAGGTAGATTTTTTTGAAGTTGCTCCTGCAATTGGGGATTGCTTGTCTGTCATATTTCTTCTAAAAATTTCTGATTTCTCATTTGTGAACAATTAAATTAGTGGACGCAATGTTGTTCCTTTCTCTCAAGACCAGCATTAAAAGGAACATGACAATACATATTGCAAGTAAAATAATAACTCTTGTGTGGGAGTATTCAACTGGGTAAATAAAAATCCCTTTTGGTGTGGGACTTCAGAAGCCAAGGAAGCAATAAAATTTAACGCTTAGCCACTGAGGATGAGAAACAGAAAACACTTTGAACAATATTTAATAGATGAAGGTATTGCGGGATATGGAGCTAGTGCGTAAACAGATATATTCATGATCTAATGAGGAACATGGGAACAGGTATATACTGCTTTGAGCCTTGATCCCTGTTCCACCATTTACTTAGATTTGTAGGTGATCTGAATCTTCATTCCATCCTCCAGCCTTGGTTTGTAACTCTTAATGTACATACTTAACAAGAAGTTATCAATTTCTATTTGGAAACCTGAATGGCCTTTCTCCACTCTTAAGGTGGTGCCTTTTTGGTCTGGGCTGTCCCTCAGGAAATAATTCCATTTTTTTCTATACTTACCAAATCCGTTATTCACATTAAACAGCAATTTTCATTTGTATAGCATTTTTAAGCTACTTAAGTCTCCCAAGGAGAGTTTCAAACTCGATTTTAATTTTGTGCCAGTTCAGGAGATAGTGTTCAAAGATCTTGACCTTCAGGGGCCTGTTAAAGGTGATGGAAGGGGAAAGAATTTGGGAGGGATGCACTGAGTGTGGGGCTCAGGCAGCTGAAGGAAGGCATGCTTGTCTTTGGAAGGAACAATCAAACTCTGCACTCCTATGCAACTAGGAATACGAGGAGTTCCAAGATTAAATGAGTGTTCGAGGGTGGGGAGGAGAAGGTCATTGAGGGGTTTGAAAACAAAGATGGCTAATTTTAAATTGAAGCCAAATTGCATTAGTAAGCACAGGGATGACAGGAATGGGATATGATATTAAGAATAAGGAGGAGTTTTGGATAAGCTTGCATTGTTTGATTGGTACAAGTTGAGAGAAGGTAAAATGTGGAAAGTACGTCAAAGCAACATTAGCATTTTTTAAGTCAAAAATGTGTCTAGATGTGGTTTTGACAGCAGATGAGCTAAATTAGGCAGCATGACGGAGGTGGAAGCATTTGGTTTTAGTGTTGGAGATAACAAGGTGTAGAGCTGGATGAACACAGCAGGCCAAGCAGCATCAGAGGAGTAGGAAGGCTGATGTTTCAGGCCTAGACCCTTCAGAAAGGGTCTTCTACCCTTTTTCTGAAGAAGGGTCTAGGCCCAAAACGTCAGCCTTCCTGCTCCTCTGATGCTGCTTGGCCTGCTGTGTT